AAAATTGCCTGAAACGTACTCTAATTTAAATAAAAAGTGATTTTAAGCATTTTAAAATTTTGCGCGCGTACGTACGCGCGTTTTTTTTTACCTGGAATTGACCGGACGGATATTGACCTTGATCATGATATAGGAATGAGAAATGACTTTCCGTTATGAAGATATGATCATGGGTTTATTTACACAAAATGACGCCTGGATGATGTCACGATAATCTGATGAATTTGAAAATGTTCAATTGCGGACATGTCTTATGACAATGACCTATGACTGTGCCAAAATTGACTGAACGGATCTAAGAGTTATTGTCTGCAAAAAAGAGTGGATAATAAATAACAAGAAAGAATAATAATAAAGAAGAAAGAAATTTCTGACGAAATCAATAGGTGCTCTGTCGAAGACAGACCACCTATAAATGATTTTAAAAATTGAGTCTGAACAAAGTAAAAAAAGAAGTAATTTTCGTGAGCTTGGTACTGGTACTCTATTGTCATGGACGTACACGCTGAGTGCATCGCTTCACGTTGACAGAGAGATAATATTATTTCGATTTTTGTTTTCTTCAATATTTGCAGACATTTGTTTAAGTTTATATCATGGAGGATCCACACTCAGATTCATCTGATTTCAACAGTGTGCGTGAATTCGACGAAGGATCTGGATCGGAGTCAGAATCGAGTTCTGGGCCCCGTTGCACTAAACTTACCATTGATGACAACTTTGTCATCAATGGTAACTACCATGGAAACCTTGATTTTGATTGGCTATTGATCCCTGTTACCATGGTAGTTGCCGTTGATGGCAAAGTTACCATCAATGGTAAGTTTTATGCAATGGGGCCCTGATTATTGACAGATCCTGAAGATGAACTGCTAAATGTGCGTTGGCAGCCAGTGATAGGGGTACAACCGTATAGATTTGAGCCTCCGCCAAAAAAATTGCTGACGATGACGACAATGATGTTGTTGGCAACGAAGAAAACTACATTGAAAGAAGACTCGGGAACAATGACTGGTGAGCTGGAATAGATTCGACGTTGACTTTTATAATAAAATGTGTCATTCACTCGCGGTAGCACCAGGAAGCAAAGCTTCCTGTAGCACTGAGCAGATCTAGCAGTAGGCACTAACACTCAGTAGTGGCTACTGCTGCATTCTGCAGCTAGCTGCGACCAGGATGGCCGGGGGGACAGCGGGCGGGATGCCTGTACTGCGCTAATTTGGCTTCTACTGGTCACCTTGTGTCTTTGAAAAATAGATTGTGGCATATCAATATAGGCACATATTCAAAGTCATACACTTGAATTAAAGCATGAATTTTACCCGACCTTTAACATAATAAGTCTTATAAACTGGTTGCCATAACATTTAGAAAGCGTTATGCTTTCCAATATTTACATTGAATGGCAATTAAGAACAAAGAAGAAAGAAATTAAATAACTTTATAGATTTAAAAAAAATAATAATAATAATACTAATAATCATAATTCAGCTTGTATTTTTTCATGACCATACGGATTAAGCATTTTTCATGGAGAAGTTCTGTGAGAATGGACTGATGAGAAGGACAAGTTAAGTAAAAGGTATCTCTCTCACCTGTTTCGCTTGTAAAAGATGAAGATCGAAATTATAACGATAACAATCACAAGAATAGCACCAACAGTGATTCCTACGATAGGTGCTTTGGAACCTGAAGGAACCCCAGCTAAAGTTGATGTCGGTGGAGAAGACGTAGTAGGTGAAGAGGATGGTGGATGGTAATGGAAAGAATTGACAGGAGTTAGAAATATTAAGGTAGCAGTGATTTCATGACCGGGGGGGGGGGACGACGAAATGCGAGGGAAAATCTGTATTCCGTTGGTATCACGGTGATTCCAACTGAATACAGATTTTCTACAATATTTAATCGTACATTTTGAAGGATATTTTGCGAGGGAGCGTAGCGACCGAGCGAGATGACTTTTGCATTTGTATTAGTCTAAACGCTGCACTATTGGACCATCCAGAGCTTAAAAGTGTGTTGCAGTCTTAAAGGTACTATGTCCCATTTGCAGGCCAAAAAAAATGAAAACGTTAAATTCCAATGGCATTAGAAAGATAGTACTAATATAGAACTTCTGTCAAAACGAAAGGGCTTGAAAATGTCTATTTGTGGGAAAATAACGACGATTTGTTGTCAAATCGACTTAAGTGATTGCAATCACTTATTAGTAAATAGTCTGATTTTCAGACCCTCGTACCGAATGGTTGTATTTTCGCCCCCCCCCCGAAAATAAAATCAGTAAAGGAGTAAAAGTGGTTTGTATTTTTTAACCAAAAAAGAAAATGAAAAAAGAGACAATCGGCTGAAACACCCGAAGTAGAAGTAAAGAGAGGAAAAACATTTCATCCATTACCGCTGTTACATCGATTTCGCTGAATTCCAAAAGCATTTACTAGTATAGTATTAATGACTGCTTTGAGAGAAATAGTTGTTTTATTACGCTCAAGGGAAGGTTAGAATTGTGCTATTCCCCGAGGCTTGCCGAGGGGAATAGCCCAATTCTAACCTTCCCGAGAGCGTATGAAAACAACTATTTCTCGAATATTAAAGCAGTCATTAATACTTTTATATGCCGAAAAAAAATAGACTAAAAAATGAAAAATTAAAAATATTTATCTTTTTTGTCGAAGACGGGATTCGAACCCTTGCGTACAACAAGAGGTGTACCAAAAACCAACGCTTAGACCACTCGGCTATGGCCCGCCGTTAACATGCTTGGCAGTTTTCTCCAATATATACATTAAAATGGATTGAAACCGGCTTCGCGTGTGATGAATGCTTCGCAAAAGCTCCATATACGGACTCTTCTTTTACTTTTGCAATGCATATTGGCACGAACTTAGATCAAGATCTATCGGCAGATGTTGTTTTTAATACTAGCAGTCATTAATACTTTTATATGCCGAAAAAAATAGACTAAAAAATGAAAAATTAAAAATATTTATCATTTTTGTCGAAGACGGGATTCGAACTCTTGCGTACAACAAAAGGTGCACCGAAAACCAACGCTTAGACCACTCGTCTATGGCCCGCCGTTAACATGCTTGGCAGTTTTCTCTAATATATACATTAAAATGGATTGAAACCGGCTTCGCGTGTGATGAATGCTTCCCAAAAGCTCCATATACGGACTCTTCTTTTACTTTTGCAATGCATATTGGCACGAACTTAGATCAAGATCTATCGGCAGATGTTGTTTTTTTGTTTTTGGAAGTTTATTTTCGTCTTCATGTCAACAATGCAAGATAAAATTGTCGGTAAGATCGATCGAGATTCAATTGTATTGAAATTACCGACCAATCCTTCGCACACATACGGCATCCTCCATCGCTCAAACCATTTTTTAACATGTAAACCTATGGGGTAACCATGGACGCTGACCAACTTTTTTTAATAACCATGGTTATTAAAAATATTGAAATGTTTTATGCATGGTTACCGAGAATTTTACAGGAACAGTTGAAGTTTATGAATGCAATTCGACCAATCAGATGGCTGGATTTCTTAAGTGAGGTATATAATATATATTCTGTTATCCCATTTAGGACAAAATAGTTCAAGAGAAGATAGATCAGTTAGATATTATAGTATTAATGACTGCTTTGAGAGAAATAGTTGTTTTTATACGTTCTCGGGAAGGTTAGAATTGGGCTATTGCCCTCGGCGTTTTTATACGCTCAAGGGAAGGTTAGAATTGTGCTATTGCCCTGAGGCGTGCCGAGGGCAATAGCCCAATTCTAACCTTCCCGAGGGCGTATAAAAACAACTATTTCTCGAATATTAAAGCAGTCATTAATACTTTTATATGCCGAAAAAAAAGAGTCAACTTATGACACCACCTTGGCCTTTCTCTAGTTTATCTGCACGGTTGTTTTTTATGAGTTTATCTTTGAGAGTAGACTAGATCTAGATTCTAGTCTAAGCAAGATATTTTTACAATTTTTGGGGTGGGCCGGCCCTGTGGGGAATATGGAGAAAAACCTGCGCTTTCATATGACACCTCACTTATTGAGTATCACCTTCAGGATCACGAGCAATATTAGTTTGAATCTCTGGCAATTAAAACATCGACCAATTTAGCATGAGTGCGATGCACAATGGCCAATGCATAGGGATGTGTGCACTCTCTTCGGGAAGGATTTTAGCACTAGGGCCTACTAGAGTCTAGACCTACTTACTAGAATCTAGGCCTACTAGTTATGGAGAATTTAACGTACCCATTTTGGTGCTCTTACTGTCGGCAAGTCTTGCATTTGATCATCATCAAGAGGTTGAAATCTTGGGAGAGCTTCTTCAGCCACTTTTGCCTTCGGTTTGGATATTGAAATTACCGACCAATCTTCGCACACGTACGGTATCCTCGATCGCTCATACCAGTTTTTAACATGTGAACCTATGGGTGTTTCACCAAGACTGAACTATTTTCCCGGCAACCATGGTAACTGGAATTTTGCCGGGATTTTAGAACTATTATTTTAGAACTATTACATGGGTTTGGAATTTTACCGGGAATTTTACAGGAATAGTTAAAGTTTATGAATGCAATTTCGACCAATGAGATGGCTGGATTCCTTAAGTGAGTTATATAAAACTTTCTAATGTATTCTCATGAATAGCAAAATTCAAAAGACAAACTAATCACCTTTTCTTCTGCTTGAAATAAAACCCTCACATGTTACAAAGAGATTTCAAAAAGTGTTTTAGAAAGAAGAATACAAGGGCAAATATGCTGTTATGCATATTGGGATAATTACCAGTTTGTATGAAGGAAAATACAGATTTCGAACTTTTCGATACGTTGCCAGCTTCAAATTGTTCATGCTCTGCTCATTGTTCTTTTAAGGTTTTAAAATATAATCGCATTTGACTTTTAGTCCAACCATTACAATAGACAAAAGATCATAAATCATGAGACAATATTAGATTACGCTCAATATCGATAATGTTTAAAAAATAATTTAGAAGAAAGGCGACGACTCCAAACCTATGCATTCAGGAACGGCATTCAACCAGTTTCCGTCGTCGCACGTCGAACTCGAATCCCCGACCAATGTGAACCCGAGGCTGCAGTTGAAAGCGACGATGCGGCCATGATAGAACGGCTCGACGAGGCTGTTGGCGTAGCCATCGTCAGGGGCTGAGATCAATGGACAATTCGCTGTATACAAAATATAAAATAGTTCAAAGACATGACCTATTACAGGGTACGTTCACACGGTATCGTAGACATAAACTTTAAGTTTGTAAATCCTCGAAGTTTAAAACAAAGCATATAACCTCGAGTTAATTCCGTTCGCTCGGTATTAAAATTTGAGTGAGGAAACCCCCTCCCGTTCATAATAATAGCAATGATATAAGATTACTCGAAGTTTTAAACTTCAGGTTAGCATTAAGTTAAGGTTGGGATAAAGGAAAGGCGATAACTCCAAACCTTTGCATTCGGGAACGGCATTCAACCAATTTCCGTCGTCGCACGTCGAACTCGAATCCCCGACCAATGTGAACCCGAGGCTGCAGTTGAAAGCGACGATGCGGCCATGATAGAACGGCTCGACGAGGCTGTTGGCGTAGCCATCATCAGGGGCCGAGATCGATGGACAATTCGCTGTCAACAAAATATAAAATAGTTGAAAGACATGACCTATCACAGGATATGTTCACACGGCATCGTAGACATAAACTTTAAGTTTGTGAAACCTCGAAGTTTAACAAAAAAAGCATAACCTCGAGTGAATTCCGTTTGCTCGGTACTCAAATTTGAGTGAAGAAACCCCCTCCCGTTCATAATTATAGCAATAATATAAGATTACTCGAAGTTTTAAACTTCAGGTAAGCTTTAAGTTAAGGTTAGGTTAAAGTATAGCCCACCAAATTGATGTAGGCCTATGACGAATTGGACGTCGGACCAGTTGGAGGTACGATCAATCAATGGGAACGAGCCCGTTTGGACAGAGATCCAATGGGTTTTATAGGATCGATATGACAGGCACATGGACCTATTGCACGAAAGACCAGTGGCACATTCGACCAATGAGACAAACTAAAAGATTTTACATAGAAGTAAATAGATATACGACAAGTGGAACATATGACCAATGGGAAGTCTGCCCAATTGTATAAGTAGGGCAAACTGTATGTATACATAGGAACAATAGCGCATAGAACCCATTGCACTTAAAGGTAAAGACCAGTATTGGAAACGCCCCAATTTGCCGGGAAACAGCCTACTAATTGATATATTTGGTAACATAATATAGCTCCGTTTAGTCTCATTTGACAACGCCCCCTATCGTCAGAGTCAGCAGCCTAACATGTGAGCTTACGGACTTTAAAAAAAAAAAAAAAAAAAAAAATCGTTAAAAAAAAAAAAAAAAAAAAAAAAAAAAAAAAAAAAAACATTTTTTTATTTAAACGAAAAGCACATCCACCCCGACGTACGTTATCACTAGCTCTTTCATTGGAACCCTCATGTCTCATTGACTTTTGAAAGTTCACCCACCGTAATTTGATCAAAATAGGTCGCAAGCTCGCCATTGCCTATATAACACATTTACAACAAGTCGAACTTTGGACTCAATTTACCACGCGATTGTAAGGTTATAAGTCAAGCACACGAAGGATAAGAAGCATGAATTATCATAGATCAGTTTCTGATTTGTTCATTATGTCCGTTTCATCCAACCCCCCACCGTAATTTTTCCATTTAGTAGAGGCAAGCATTTTGCCGAGGTAAGCAAAAACATGAATATTCATGAACGGTCAGACAATACAGCCTTTTAGTACGTAACGTATAGTGAATGGGAATGGCGATGATCCGTCCAGGAGGTAGAGGTCAGTGGTTTGTGCTGGCAATGTTCCAGCGAGCGAAAATGAGACGACCGGAGCAATATGATTAGTTTATCTATTGGACTGTGAGAGATAAGTGCACGTGTCGCGCACGTGTGCGTAGTCCCATATACATCTTTCTGTGTACAGTGCTTGTAACTTTGCGAAGACTGGGCCAAATTTCTTATCATTTTGATGATTCCAGAACCTTGCAGTACACACCAATACTTATAATATGCTAGATGATCAACCTTTTCTGATCGATTCCACAACGTTTCTTTCACAATGCAATCGCATGACCATAACTGGTCTTTATCTTTAAGATTAAGTATGTTTGAAACTAAGTTAATTAACAGGGTAAATATTGCACCCAAACAACACAGCCATACTCACAATAACAGTATACATCCACGTCCCAACTACCGTTTCCGCAGGTCAGAGGTTCTGATACATTATCCCCTGTTCCGGAAGTGAAACCGTCGTCACAGGTCACCGTCACGATGATGAAGTCGCCGTGGTCTGTTTCCGATTGGTTTGTTGCAAAGTCCGAATTCGCAATGTCTGGCGAGGGGCAATTTGCTGTGATAGATTTGATAATTAAAGGAATAGTCACAATATCTAGTATGCAGGTTTAACAACTCACGGTCAACTGTCATCACACAGTGTTTACAATAGAAGATAGATTCTTGGTGTGCGGACATTCTGTAAAGAATCTATACTTACGGTTCAAGGAATAAAAGTAAAGAGATATATTACTTAAAGTAAAACTTCTAAATGTTGGTCAATACTTATGATGATTATCTATTTAAATATTGAATTTGCTTTCATCTTATCTATTCATCAATCTTACTGTGACGTTTTGGATAGAAACAAACTTAAAAATTATAAACACAAAAACGGTGTGTGAAAATAAAGATACCTACATCATTCTGTCCGGTCACTACGTCTTGAAAGTGACCGATGTTGATATTTTGAAAAGAGTGAACAATGATTGAACTACCCAAAATATAATAAAACACAGTACCTAAACATTCTCCCACATCCGGGTTCCATTCTTCATTGTGACACCTGAAATCGGTTACCCCAGTCAGAGTGTACCCTTCAGAACACGAAATTGTCATCTGACTCCCCTCTTGAAGTACGTCATCAGACGATGTTGCTTCTCCATTGGTTATAACGGGAATCGTACAGTTTCCTTCAAAAGAGAAGCAAAACTAATTGTTAGTTGTAGTTTGGGAAGTATCATCGTTAGAGTCGTGATCGAATATTTCAAGTATTTCTCCTTTTTTTTTCCTTGTATGCAGTTCTTGTATGGCGCATATTACATTATGATATAAAATGTCAATGCACTTCTAAAGGAATTAGGATATTAGCTCCGGTAACAGTACCTCTCGGCGCATTCAAGGAATAAATCCTACGAGGTACTCATTTACTAATATACACATGGGTAGAGTGTGACAAATGTAAATTAAAGGTAGTATATCCCTTTTGCAGCCAACATCAAATTCTGTAGAACTTCACAGGAATTATGAACGTGTCACGTATGTCCTATCTGTGAAATTTAAACGTTAGCCGTTAGCAAGGGTCTGAAAATCAGACTATTTAATAAAACGACCGCGATCGCTAAATTCGATTTGACAACTAACGGTCGTTATTTAACCACAACAATACATTTAAAATTCCTTTTGTTTCGAGAGAAGTTCTAAATTAGTATCATCTTTCAAATGCCGTTGGAATTTTACCTTTCATTTGTTTGGCCTGCAAATGGGACATAGTACCTTTAATGTCTTGCCGAGGGACGTTAGTGCTGCGGCACGGATTCGAACCCCGAATCATGTTGTTCACAGTACGGATACTTATCCATTAGACCACAATACCTCTACAATCTCTTTCAAGCCTCTGTACTTACCAGAACATGTTGGGATCGTAGTTGGGGACCATTGACCTGTTCCTATACAAACGGCCATGCCTGGTCCGTCAAGGAACAGACCATCGTCGCAAGAATACACAATCTCATCGTACAAGGAGTTGTGATTTACCGGGCTTACTAAGCCGTTCTGGGGAGCAGTGGGCACGGGACAACTTGATTCTATTTCAGAGAGAAAGAGATAGAGAGTGAGGGGTGGGGCAGAGATAGAGAGGGAGAGAGGATAAGAGAGAGAGAGAGAGACAACAAATACGTAATGTTCAAGATATTAAAGATTTTATATTAACCATAGTCATAAAAAACGTACAAACAATCATACAAAATACAGTATCGAATATGGAAAGAACCAGTAGAAAAGCAAATGCTTGTGAAGAAGGTCCTTACAGATAGTAGATGGGGGAAATAATCAGCAAATATTAAGTAAATACAGAGTCAAATTGTATAAACTAAATTCCAAAACAAACATATATTACCGGCAAACACACACATAGAGAGTCGAATGTACTTATCCTAAATAACCACACAATTCGATGAATTGTTCATTACATAACTACGACAAAGCTTTATCAGATTTGTTCATTTTTGTTTTTAATTCAAAAGTTCTATTACCAGCACACGATAATGAGTTCAGAGAAAATGTCGATTGATTTTAGAATAAGAATTACTCAATTCTTATGGAAGCAATTTGGAATTGACGGAAAACATACCGGTACACATCAGTGTATTAAGAGGAACTGAATCATGTATTTTGTAAATGTTGGGTGACTGGAAAATTGGAGTACTTGGCGTATAGATATTAGATTTAATTATAATTTTGAAGTATATGCAATTGTTTAATATTAGATTTGCTAGTATTTCATCAAACATCACTGCAATAATTTAATTGTTGAAGAGGGAGAGTATTACATATCAATTTCAGTACGTCATTGGGCATATGAACTTTAATTCACATAGTACACCCACACTTCTCGCTACAGATTTTGAATATAACAGCAATATGAACATTCCAGTCAATATCATTCATTGATTGTTACACCTAGGAATGTGAAATTATCTACTTTACATGCCATAATATAATCAAAAAACATTTAACGTAAATTCGAGGGTACCCTTCTCTTCCTTGTTCTAAAAATGACATCCTTTTCTTTGGGGGGGGGGGGGGGAGGGGGGGAGATTTAGCGAAAACTTATTTACTTTAAATCATAAATAAACATTGCAAATTTCATTGATTACCGAGGAGACGAGGGTTTGTAGATTCTTATTGCTAATAGTAGCTACGGTATTTTTGGCAAACAAGAAAAAGTTAAAAGAGATCAGAAAAATTTACAATATTATTTATATAAAGGAAAGGTAATACATATACAAGAATATGCACATTACACTTTCATTACTTTTCCTCTTTTTTTTCTTAGTCAGAGGGGGCGGAGATATAAGTACTGTGTATTGGACTATGACAAACCATAATGGCACATTATTTCATTCTTAATAGTCCTGAATATTTTTCAAATCAATGTACCGAATAAAACACAGGAAGGGTGCTTAATATTGAACTGGCAAAGATACTTTGGAGATCCTGGTACATCAGAGTAGCTCCAAAACTGTCACATATAAGTTTGAATGTGGTATATTATATTTGTCATTGTATTTTGGTTAGATAACGGAGCGCGCATGATACTCGCCGTAACAATTACGAGAACGTAATAAGGACGCTGTGGGCGCGTAATCAATCATTGAGGAGACGAGTATGGCAAGGGAGAAGTATAGGTATGCTCTCTGGAAGTTTGGAGATAAGTGTAGATTAAGATACCTTGGACACCGTGAGAACTGTTCATAGAATGATACACAGTAACAAAAGCTTTAATAAAATAGCCATTGCACGTTGACGATAATCCGTAGAACATGATCTTTATGATGGCAATACTTTCAAGAAATCAACTCAAAGGCAATTTCTATAACCCCGATTTTCATGATTGTATCCAATAGAATTCATGTTTGACTAACCTAAAATGCCACTGTAATGCTTTCAATAGGTGATGCAAAATGCTACTGAAATTGCGTAGGGTTGATTTGTTTTCGAAAGTCTTTGCGATCGCGTTAGAGGTTAAAGGAAATATAATGCCGTAAATGTATTGGTTTCTTTACCCTCGCATGTTGGTGGGAACTGTGCGTCCCAATATCCAGCTGATATGCACACGCCAACTTCCGTTATCCCAAATAGATATCCACTACAGGTGACGTTCACACTTGACCCTGTATCGTAGCAGTCCTCATCCGGAGAGAAACTCGGTGTCCCACCACCTTCTATATCAGGTGGTGAGCAGCCAGTATCTGTTTAATGGTGAAATAAAACACAATGATTATACATGTATATACAAATAATATGAATGAGAGTTTCAAAGTCAGAAAAGGAGTTTCAGTGTTGAGTCTAAAAACAATAAAAATGACAATAATGCTGTTATGATATATAATGATGATTTTGATGATTTGATAAAAGCATAATAATAATAATGATAATAATAACAATAATAATAATAATAATAATAATAATAATAATAATGATAATGATAATGATAATAATAATAATAATAGCAATGATAATAGTAATACTGATAATAATAATAATGATAATAATAATAACAATAATAATAATAATAATAATAATAAAAATAACAATAATAATAATAATAATAATAAACGCTCTAAAATATAGGCATAATATTCCCCTAAGGCCCTGACCAGAGCACTATTTTTTCTTCGAAATCTATAACCAGTCTTAGAAGGTGCATTATTATTGGAAGGGTGTTATAAACAAAACTTCAAACATAATAACATTCTAACCTTCAAAAACACCTTAAATATCTTATACCTGTTACGTTTGAATACAATACATAGGCCTACATCAGCTTTTCAGTAAAACTAAAATAAGTTGTGACATAATAATCGTTCTCCAAAATATCGAACTGGAGTATTCTGTTGTATTGCTTGTTTATGTACATACAAAGAGCTTATTTTCAAGAGGCACTAGATCCATGTGTGTAACTTAAGAAAGAACTCTTTGTTTACCCGATTTTGTTCAGGTGTCTATGGAAAATTGTTATTAAAAGATGCATGTGTTCATAATTTCTCTCGTAATTTAGGTTAATAATTTTGTTCAAGGAAAATAGAGGAAAATGTTTATCATTATCTCCATTTGCTATCAAAAGATTTTGCTCCTTTCGGAAAATAGCTCTTCAAATGTTTTACATGTAGAGATATAAATAAACAAAGAAATGGATGAAATCAATAAAACAAAATAGATACTTAGTATGAATCAGGGAACAAACTGAAAGCTTCGTCTCCTACATGCTGCCATTTGGACACACCCGTCTTTCTCTTCAATGATACAATATTTTATTACTTTACCTGCATTTATGAGAAAAAAAAACGCATCATCAACCCCACATAGCTTTAAAGTCACTTCAGATTGAACTGGCCAAAAGTCTGATAGTGTGATATTCTTGCTCAGATGCTTTCCTTTACCTTTAAGAGTTCTTTATATTGAGGAATTGGTTGATAATTTTTTCTTGGCAATAATGCCCAAATTAAAAGAGTTAAAAAATACACGACTGTAACTTTTCGCGTTTTGAAAAATGTTTTAGGAAATATCAGGAAATAAAATAAGTGAAAAAACAAACAAAGGAAGAATTACGTGAATTTTAAAAAGGGTGAACGGAAACAACATAACAACTAGTGAACTATCTTATAAGTCATACTAATGTCCGACAATCATCGCCCATTCACATCAGTTCCGCGAAGGAAATGCTGGAACATATATGTCCCTCTTTCTCTTGTCTTTCTTCCTTTTCTCTTCCCCCTTCCTTTTTTCTTCTGCCCGTTTCTTCCCATTTTCCCTTTTCCCCATGCAGGTAACAAGCCCATATGGGGATGATCTGGGTCACTTGTGCCATCCAGGCTAAATGGAACCAATATAATATTATGTATCCCACATGGGGCCAATATTTAGTAACCCATATGGGATCTATCTGAGCCAGCCCTTATGGGTTACACATGGGGGAATCTGGGTTAACCCACATGGGATATATCTGGGTTATCCAATATGGGTACCAGATGGGATTAAGCTGGGCATACCCATTTGGGCCCAGTTTGGTATGAGTCCCATATTGGTCCCATCTGTCTTATATCGGTTTGTCAATATGGGTCCTATATGCTTCTTGGTGCAGATGCCTTAGGGCCCCCAGATGGTTTTCCATATGGGGGCCATGTTTCAGAGAATATGGGACCCATGTGGGTCCCACATGGGCTTGCTACCTGAGTTATTATCCTCTCTGTCTCCATTATCTCTCTCTCACACCCTCTACTTCTTTTTTGCACTTTTGCGCTTCGCGCTTAACATTTAGCTCGTTGCTTTTTAACGCTGCGGCTTTGCATTTGACCCATTGCATTTCTATGATGCTGTTGATTGAATAAATTGAATAAATTCATCAATTTCTGATGAAGCCGTATGAGCGAAAATTCAATTTATTCTTGTCTCATATACGGTTGTCTCATTTACTTCGTTTTCTATTTATATATGTATGTTTTATGAAAATGAGATAGCAAAATGTGTATATTGATGGTCATCTTGCCGGTAATAACCATTAACTACTCTCATCGGGCTCTCATTATTACTTTTTTTCTTCATTTTTTGTTGTTGATGGTGAATTATTGGGGGGGGGGCATGGGTGTCGATCCCGGGGGGGGGGGGGGTGGGGTGGATATATCCCCCCCCCCCCCCCAATATTTCAGGTGGGGGATGGCCTGTACAATCATCCCCCCCCCCCAATAATCCACCATCAAAACATGAATAATCACGATAAAATGACGTCAGTTAACAACAGTGCTACAGACTAAAGAGCGAATTCAAATGATTATGGAATAAAGAGACAGAGCTAAATTGAGTTAAAAGTAAATAAACGCAAAATGAATTGGATTGGCAAAGTAGCGAAACTGGCCGGAAAACCTATAATAATAATAATATCAATAACAATAACAACAACAATAACAATAATAATAATAGTAATAACAATCATCATCATCATCATCATCATCCTCATCATCATCAAGATAATATGAATATATAAGGTATGAATATAAAAATCAGTCAATCAATAGTTTAAAACGTACCCGCATTAGAATTGACACATTAAATGAAACTTACCGCATTGTCCTGTAACCCCAACAAATAATTGGCCTGTGGCGATTAAAAGAAACAGAGAGAAAGATTTAAGTAGTTGTGTAGAGAAAATTGTTAAGAGATATGAAAATCCTGTTTTCATGTACACTACACTTTTTAAGGGTTACAAGTATAAGGCATGCTGGTCTCATTCTCACGTCATTTTTTTTCCGGACCGATTGTGCCGGGCACCGGTTCGCAGCACGGGACAAATTTGTGTGACGAGCGGGACTATATGCAATGATATTGAATGATAGTGTCATTCTGTTCAAAGAATTTGTCACGATATTATTATTATTATCTGTTCGTTTTTCTGCACAGTATTTTAAAGTCAATTTTAATTTAAAACATTTAACAAAAGCAGGAACACATAATCGCGATATAGTGCCTTACCGTCCGCTATACTATGTGACGAAAAGAGTAATTGGAATTTCTATAGGGATCTCTAAAAGACATAGGCATTTTTTATTTATTTATTTAAAAAAAAACAGGCATTACTTGCATATAAATAAAACATTACATACTTGAAATCAAAACGGGCCTGGTATACCCTCAAGAATGATAATAATTAGAGTTATTGACGTACAAGGAGGTCGCTGAGGACTGCCCCTCCCCTTCCCAGTATACTTAAATTACAGCAACCGTCATCTGGTAGTCTGGTAGTGAGTCTGTCTCTTTGGAATATTTACGTCATAATTATATTTCAATAACGAAATCAAGCCACCAAGCTCTACACTAATTAAATAATTTCACTGTTTTTGGAAGAATGACTCAGATTGCGTCTCACTTGTTTCTGCCGTTCACCATTTTTGTTTGGGGTGGCGGGGGGAAATAGGTTATGGGGCAAAACGGTAGCACCCCTTGTCGATATCTTGCCCATCATGTGCCTCGCAAAATTGATCTCCCTGTGCCACATTTATATGTTTCTTTTCAGTTTCAGTTCAGTTTCAGTTTTCAGTTTCAATTTATTTTCATATTTCTCACATGTTGTATAGTACATCATTACATATAGCATGTTACATTTTGAACTCATTTTAGGATGCGTTTATACAAACAAACAAAAGAATGATACATAAGACTAAGTTGAATAAGGGAAGAAATATGATGGAGCCTAAAGAGAAAGCAATGCTTGTAGGTCATAGGCTCCGGAAGTTACAACAATGACATAGTCTTGTGTATATTAAAACAACGTAATTTAATTAAATTGAAACTTATTATGAAGAAAAATAAACAATATTCATACACTTAGCAATATTTGTATAACATTTTCACTACCCGTACGCAATGGCAATTCTCATAGGAGCATACCAAGATGTCGGCATCAATTGACAGGGAGTGTCGCTGGCTATGTGCCGGTAAAGTTGTAGAAAATTTAAGTGTAGCCGCGCTGGCAAACGGACTGGTTGTCAATGACGCCAGCATCTTGGTATGTTGGAACAAAAATGAATAGAACATTTTTTTATATGTTTTTTGTTTTTTTTTATACACATTTATGTAAAATTAAATATGTTAGCCCGATGACAAGCCGCCATTTCCACCCGTAGTAATCACTGGAACTCAACAGCAGGAGCGCGAAGTGCATAACCCGTCGCTGCTAGGTCGAACAGACATTAACAACAAACAAAGCATGCACCTCGCTCCCCGGCCATCGAAGCACAATGACATCCCAGCAAGTGAAGGCAACGGCCCGTCACCAGGCACAGGGTAACAACAGCAAACTAAAAGAAACATTCAGTCTGAACATCGACAGTTATACCAAAGAATTCAAGGCAATGTGAATAGTTTCCTTGTGTTAAACTAATCGGTGTTAAAATAGTTTTCATGTAGCTAATTAATACGGGAAATGGGTAATTTAGTAAATGCTTTGTGCTGCAAAAGAGCAATTCTGCAATAAGTTCGTGTCAATCTGCACGTGTGACAAACGAGCCAAACGAGCCAGTTAGAACTACTGGCAAATGAGAGGTTGAATCATAGAAATTTATCAGAAAACCCACACTCACGAATTTACAAGTGCTGTAATTAATTGTAAACTCATATGCAACTGATCATTAACGTAATTACTTGACGCAAAACGATAGATGGCATTCGATACTTTGTTTATTTGAAGAAAAAAAAATATTTTGCTAGCGTCATGCTCCATGAATGTACCATTGGTTTCAAGCAAATATCATGCATATACTAAGGCAATGTCTTCGCATACTGACATGTACCCAACCTACACAATCATTCTTTTAACATTACTCCCTTAGTACTTGGGTATTAACATCATAAATGCGTGGGCTTCGAGGATACAGTACACGGAATACAAGTACAGTTTAATGTGCATGTTATATATATCTCTTGTTCATTTACAATAATATAACGCAAAGTGAAAAGCAGCAAGTTTGGTTAACTAATTCATCATCCTCATGTTACAAAAGTTAAGTATTTGCTTCAGAGGCAGCCTTTGGATAACCGACATAATGTATACAAAATAAATGTAAGCCTACATAGTATCACATACAGTTAGTTGATGAATTCGCAGAGAATATGCAGGGGGGAAATAGAAAAAAACAATACCTGAAAGAAGGACTGAAATCAAGACGATCGTAATCGGACTGAGTTTCGAACCAAGGACACTCATGTTTAGGGTCTCCCTGGTTTCCTTCTGTACCAGACGATCTCCGCTAGTCCAGGCCGCACATTTGATTTACTTGCTGAAGGCGCCCGTAATGAGATGTAGGTGGCTCTCATACGAGCTCTTTCGAGAATGATTCATATTACTTTGTAACTAACTTCTTTAGTCTTTGACCCGAAACACCCATCTTGGTTGTTTATTAACTAGGGATTAGCACGTGATTTGTTATAATTATATTGTGCACACATCAGCTCATTATTCTAGCTAAATATTGAGACACGTACGACTTAATAATAATAATAATAATGGTGGCTTCTTATATAGCGCACATGTCCATCACGTTGTGACGCTCCTGGCGCTGGCCCGATTATTACCCTGCCTTTAGCAAGGCAGCCACTGCGGCGCTCTAGCATTTCAAGGAATTAATTCCTGTCAGGTACCCATTTACATCACCTTGGTTGAGTGTGGCAAATGTAGGCCAATGTCTTGCCAAAGGACATTAGTGCCGCGGCGGGACTCTAACCGCGGACCTAAAGATAGACAGTCCGTCGACGTATCCACTAGACCACGACACCTCTAAAGTAACATGATTATTTTGTACTCCCTCTTCATTTTGATTATCTTTAATACGGATCTTGCTTCATCGACAACATCCTGGGTTGCCTCTTCAAATGGTTTATTTGCAGTTCAATGCAAAGCAAGGTGTTTATTTCCAATGCGATACCAGTGACATATATAATGTTGATGAAATGACATGATTTTCCTTTTTTTCTTTCTCACTTGTACACATTACGCCAGATGCGGCACTTCCTGGGGGGGGGGCACTGTGCTCCCACTTTTTCAGGTACCCCCAAAGTGCCCCCTTTCTTACTGTCCTTTTCCTCTCTGTTCATTGAGTACCTCCTTTCAGGTGCGAGAAATTCCCCTTTTCACCTCTGATATTTATGCACTTTTTTACTTTGACTTTTCCTTTTTAATAAGTGCACTTTTTCCTTCGTAATAAGTGACCCCCTTCCCTTTCTCTTAAATGCCACTTTTAACATCTGAGTAAGTGCCACCTTTCCTTTCTAATAAGTACCATATTTCCTTCGGATAAGTGCCCCTTTTCCTTTTTTATAAGAGCCCCTCTCCCTTTTCAAAATGTCCCTTTTTATCTCTGATATATGCCCCTATTAAAATCTGATAGGTGCCCTTTTCCTTCAACAGATTACCCATTTCCTTTCTCACAAGTGCCTTTTTTCATCTCTGTTGAGTGTCTCTTTTCAGGTGCAAGTAGTGGCATTTTCACTTCTGATACTTGCCCTTTTTACTTTGACACGAGCACCTTTTCTTTTCTAATAACCTTCCTTTTCCCTTTTGATAAGTGCCTACTTTTCTTTTCTCCATAATATGCAACCTTAATTCAGGAGACTTAGAGCCCCTTTTTTCTACAATTTTCCCTAAAATTCACTCGCTTCGCTCGCTCGCATTTATAGATGTTATAATTATGTTACTAATAAAACAACTTTTCAGTCTTTCTTCATTAGATTGTCCTTTATACTCATCAGGGTTTTTTCTTCTTCTTTATAAGATGTAATTTTCGCACTGGGACCTCACAAATCTTAACATTTTTGCTCGCTCGCTTCGCTCGCTCGAAAATTAATATTCAGACCATCACACCAACTGCAAAGTATGTTGCTTATCTTGTACCACGTAAAGAGAGAAACAAATATTGATTTCATCCCTGGTAGCGTAATCACAATCATGAAGATGTGGGGGTATATGTTTTTCTGATGTTTCCCTTAGTACGTGCCCCCTTTGTTTTCTTCCAGAGAGTGCCTTTTTTGTTGGTGCCTTATCGACAGTTTTGAATAAATTTCAGCCAATGCTTAAATTATAAGACATAAAGCACGGACGCTCTCATTGTTATACACGATTTGATTTTTGTATAAATTCTTAAAAGTTACGATTAAATCGCGTTGATTTTAAGTATAGAAATGTAAAAGAAGGAATTGTTTGATCAATGGATGAGCGAGTTTATTGTCCGTATTTGTTTAACTAATTTTTTTTTTTTTTGGTTTTCCCCTTTTCACATCAGTCCAATCCCCTTACTCCCAAACTGATAAATGGAGTGGTTTTATCTTTAAGTTTCGTCTTTCTTTTCAATAAACCCGCACTAAAAATAGAAAGGTCTAGAAGTATAACGACGCGAACAGAATACAATATCAATATTGACAAACCCATAGGTACCACTAAGCAGCTAAATATTGTATTATCGTGTTTGTATTTTCCAGATAAGAACTCAGAAGATGGAAACAATGCTTATTTTGTCGTGCTGTTTCTCCTTTTCTTTTCAAACTTTACATAACCCTTTTATGTGCAGCTAACTAAACTATTTTGCTCATAATGATAAATATATAGATGGCCCGCATGTTTGTTTGTTGAGTTTTTTTCTTCATTTATATTTTATCAGTCACGAGTATTGTTGAGTGCCGACACGCAGTGAGACGGCGCTATTTAGCTTTCAAAGATAGAGTCACTCTTTATAGAAGCGTTACGATACGACAACCCAGTCCTATAGTTTTGAATAGGAAAAAAAGAAAAGAAAAAAAAAGACATAGTTGTCAGGGGGTAGTTGTCCTAGAGGATGGGTTGTCGTAGGGGTAGTTGTCTGGGGGTAGTTGTCCGGGGGGATTTGTTTGGGAGTAGTTGTCCTAGGGGTAGTTGTCTGGGGGTAGTTGTCCGGGGGTAGTCGTCCTAGAGGGTGGTTGCCCTAGTGGTAGTTGTCTTAGGGGGTAGTTGTCCTAGAGGATGGTTATCCTAGGGGTGATTATCCGGGGGTGGTTGTCCAGGGGGTAGGTGTCCTAGACCCGGCCTAACAGTGAGATGAACATGGTATCAAACTGTTTGGAAAAATATGGAAAATATGAAAGAAAAACGAATGAAGATTCTATGTTGCGTACGGCTATGACGAACGAGAAAGCGCGCGTGTGCGACACTTTGAGACGATTTGGTGCATTTCTAAGCGCGCGTTAATTGACCCCAGATTGACCGGACGGATATTGAACTTTATCATGATAAATATGAATGAGAAATGACTTTCCGTCATGAAATATGATCATGAGTTCATTTTCACCAATTTGCGCCTGGATGACGTCATGAAGACCTGACGACCTTGAAAATGTTGCTGTAACATTTTATGAAAATGACCTACTGTGCCAAAATTAAAGGAAATTAGCCGAACCGATTTTGAGTAATGTTCTATACCAAAAAAAAACAGATTTGGGCATTTGGCCAAAAGGGATAACAATTTCCGGATTTCGGCATTTGGTTAAAGGAGATAAAAAATTCTGGTTTGGGGCATTTTGTCAAAGGGGGTGAGAATTTCTGGATTTGGTCAAAAGGGAATTTAAAAAAAAAAGGTTTTCATGACATGGTATTGCTATTGTCTTACACAAGTTGAATCAATTGTATATGCATCGTTCATATGTATTTCATTATTAGTACTTATATATTTATATTCATAATAATTTATTTTTCAATTTTTCTCTTGATATATTATGATGTTGTATTTCATTCAATTGTGGTTGTGATTGTATACTATATGATACTGACAGATGAATCAATTAATAAGTGAAAATGTTTATGAACAGTATAAACAGAACGAGAGAGAGAGAGAGAATAAATTATTAGCGCTCGGAATGAATTGAAAATGGGCATTTAGTAATTATTTGGCAAAAGTTTCTTAAATAAATTATGTTAGATGCACAATATTGTCAGAGACACATAGTTTTCCGAAGTACACTAGTATAGGACAACAGTAACAATTTACCAGTATATGAGCATAACATTGCTTCACTTAATCTGGATTTATCAACATTCTTAGACCTATTTACCAAATTAGCTTTCAAAAAATCTGATTTCCTTTGAAATAATTTAGTGTTTATTGTGGAATGAACTCCCGTCAGATGTCAAAAATACTGGCTCGCTGTATGCCTTTAAAATATTTTTTTTTATTTTTAATTTTAGACATTTACGTAATTCATTCCATGACCCCCTGGTATATATTGCTATTTTTTGTTATTAGTCCTTTATCTTAATATCGCCTCTATCTTTTTTCCCCATGTTTTTATTTATAGAAAAACAAGGGAAACCACAATGTACAAGCTTAGCTTCATTTTTATCAGATTCCCCGATAATTCACTACAAATTTATTTGTCTAATTTCAGTTTAAAAACCATGCAATTGTATTTATATCTCCGTATGTTGTTTCGACTGAATTATTACTTTCATGGCCTGACATTATTGTATGTATTTTTACATCTATTGAAAGAATAATTTGTTCATTCGTATTGTTTATTGCTTATCATTTGTGAAACTGAAAACTAAACTCAAACTAAATGTTGTCATTTTACTATTTTGTTGAAGCCTAAAACATTGGACACAACTTAGCATCGCATTTTTACTAAGAAAATTATAGTGGTTTATTTTGTTTACTATTATCTATCAAATGAAAATATCCGGGGGTACCCATTTAAAGAAAATGATTCACTGGTCAATACCCAGAATTATATTTTACAAGTATTTCTATGGTATTGCGAATTGCGACTATAAGGCTTATGTCTATAGGCTCCTCTTCCCGCCAATTGCATCGTTATTATGAGATGTTTAGCTAGGAAACTTTTCGTGAAACGGTTTAGGAAGATTAGAGACATCTCCGTAGTTGGCGGATAAAGTTATGACTATTTTATTGTAGGTTTCAAGAAACATGCCCCAGAAAGATGAGTATCAAAATACCCTCTCCGTTTTGTGCTTTTTGGACAAACTTAGCTAACTCAAGGTAGATTGAATGGTATGAATGAATGGAGATCTACAAACGACTCGGGATGACGCTGCATCTACAATTTGCAATACAAAATCAAAAAAAAAAAACATCTGTAAATGCAAATCAGCCTGACATTTACTTTTCAACAACACCTTCATCCAGCATGAAAAGACGTATACCCACAGGATTAGACAAGTTGGTATTTCCTCACGG